GGGGGGGGGGGGGGGGGGAGTTGCTGCTGTAATTGATCGCGCCTCCCTTCTCGTCACGACGAGAATGCGCAAATATTCCCGACTCAACGATGATATTAGACGTACTAATTCGCGAGAGAAACGTTTTATACGGGCGACGGAGTCGACGCTCAAGAAGGGGGGTAGGCATGCAGAGAGAGCGAGATTCTCCACTTACTTTGCGAATGTCTTCTAAATTGTGAATTTCCGGCGACAGGCCGCCGTGCACGCAGAGGAACTGTTGGTTCATGAGGGCGGCGAGCGGCAAACAGTCGAAGGCATCCATGCACGCGTCGTACACCCTCTCGGAGTATTTAATTTTACCTGAAAGCAGAAGAAGGAGAGAGATTGAAGTGACGAAATACATACAACCGTTGTTCGAACATACCATATTCGCGAGAAACGGCCGCGATAAAAGGATCCTATCAGTGTAACGGCGCTTATGGCGCATGGACGGACAAGGGACGGCTAACTCGATGTGAATGTGTTTTACGAGGCGACGTGGAGATCCGACCGACTGACTCGTCGTTCCGACCGAGGGGAAAGAGGAGGAGAGAAAGATCGAGGGAGGAAATAAAGGGGAAAGGACGCGAGGGAGCCATGAGTAAGGACACTGGCGAGCAAAGTGGGACACGCACGCTGGCCGTGTGCGGGCCATTCCGCGAACGAGCGGTGAAAAGATCGGTGGGCGCGCGGGAGCTATTTCACGTCGCGCCTCGCGTCCTCGCGCGGAATAACAGGATATACCGACCAGGGAGGATTCCGCGCCCTTAGTCGCCCACGCCTGTTCCGTCGTGACGAGGCTTCTACTCTCCTCTCCTCTCGCCGAGCGTAAACGGACACTCGTCTCCGGGCGAGCGATAACCCTCCGCCCCCGGATAACTCCGAGCGATGCCGAGCGGGTATCATTGCCTCGCTTCTGGGGTTCAGCTGCAAAAGCGAACCGGATAAAGCCGAGCTTTTTCCGACCGAGTTCTGATTACTTTTGCAACTGCGGCTGATACAGGGTGGCCCCGGCGAATTTCGGGCCGCGCGATGCTACTGTATTCGGGAAGTAGATGACCATTTTTCTTTTCCTTCTTGTACAATATTTCTATCCGCGCGCGGGAGGATCAGTTTACGAGCGGGTGTCTGTGTCGGACCATTACCAGGTGCCAGATTCTCGATATCGACTCGATGCCAGTACCGCGGCCCGGCATCGGATTACAGTTGGACGATAACTAACTAAGGTTCGGCGCCCAATTCTCTTTGCCGAGGATCCGTGAGCGCACGTTGACCGAGAGTGAATTTGCCGCATAGTCGGTTCCGTATATACAGGGTGTCTGAAACTCCTCCCCGTCAATCACTCTTACGAAGGTAGAACGAGTGAAACTGAACAGTCGTGCGTCATTTTGCAAAATTCGCAATAGCTCGCGAGGAATTAATTAATCTGTATGAGCTAGCGAGCGCACAGGAAGCGGTAGAACACATTCTGTATCAAGAAAAATGACTTGCTTCTGAAGATCCGGCGACGATGAGCATCAACGGACCTCTAAAGATGAAGTAACGCAGCGAACGTTGCTATCAGTTGATATCCGTCGTTGGCAAGAAATCTTCACAAGTCATTTTTCCTTACATTGAATCCGATGCAGATTAATTAATTCCTTATTAACTATTATAAATTTTGCAAAATATTACGTGACTTTCCCGCTCAATTTTCACCCGTTCTATCCGCATACCACGGACACCAAGAAAGATTTCCAACACCCTGTATATAATATCGGTTTCAGATCTCGCGAAATTACGCGCGTATCATTCGGGGCGAATCTCCGCGCGAAATGTTTCGGCCGAGATTTCTCGTACAGCCGATAGCAAAAGGATTAACGGCGCGTTTTATTCTTCTTTTCCTCGGTGTGTATTCCCGAATAGACTGAGAACGATCACACGATTTTTGCTTCCCCTACATTTCTGAAATTTATCGAACCGAAAACTTCGAAACTCTTAATCTTCTTACAAATCGACGATATTTTATATGATGAAAATTCTCGGTACTCTCCGCTTTCGGTATTCGAATACCGGCATCTATGTTCAGCGATATATCGCGTGTATACTACGTGTCGTAATCATACACGTGAACACATGTCATGACAAGAGTACACGCGACTAATCCAACGCAGCGATGCGGAGGGGAATGACGTTTGTTTCGCGTTCATACATCGATTTTTCGCCGAGATACGGCAGTTCGAAGTTCGCAGGGGCGACGCACCGATTCTTCGCCGCCGAGACCGACGACGCACGCGTGTAACACATTGTAGCAGGTTCACATTTGACACCTCGCTCGGCCGAACAGAATGGAGCGATGCGCAACATTGTCCCTCCCGTGTCCGACTTCAAAGCTCTCGCCGCTCGTCTATATCTCCTCATGGAAAAGTCGTAGAGACGTACGATAAATTGCATTCGAAAGCTGAGACTGTCCCACATCCGACGCGGGGTTGATCGTTTCTCCCTATTATCGATTTATTTTACGTCCCTGAATGAGAGTCTCGATCGACTTCCTCACGAATATGAACGAACTAAAGACGAATATGGATTCCCGATTCGCGTTAATTAGATATATTTCACATTAGATATTTTTGAGCGAGCATCTAAGATTGATTAGATCTTCTAATTATATTATATCTTTTATAATTATATTTTCTAATTTCCACGATATAATCTTATAAGATTTTACAATATCTTTGACTCCCTTTCGGCGTCGCTTGTCTATATTTCCGCATAAAAAAGTCCCACGCTGAAAAATTTATTTTGATAATTACTGTAAAAATATTTGATACATGCATTATGACATTGACGATATAACATTTCTTACTTGCGTCGACCAAATGTGTTATGAAGGAAGAATAAACTTCATAAATTCGTTTAAGTTAGCGCAACTAAATTATTTGCTTAGCCCTTTTGGTTTCTTAAAAAACTTAAAATTCGTTATTTTATTAAAAGGCTCTATGTGTTAATATTCAATCAAAAATAAAAAGGTTTTACAGGCCAAGTAAAAGCCTATGCACAGGCTAATGCAATCAAGTAATTGATTTAATTAACTGAAATGAGAAAACCCTCCGATATAATAGCTTTCTTCTTATTTTTTACTAAGGAACTAATTTTTTTAGTTGCAGTAACAGTTCGTTGCGCATATGTCAACTACATTATTTGATCAAGTCTATTTAATTCTGGTTATGACAATTAAATTATTTTTACAGTGTAGGGACGTGGAGTAAATTGCATTACATCGAAAGCCGAGACTATCTCGCATCCGATGCAGGGTTGATCGTTTCTCCGTAAGAATTTCTCGATTAATTTTTCGTGCTATTGAAAATTCAAATAACTTCTTCATAAGTTGAAGACGAATATATAGACTCCTGATTCACACTAATCGGGTCTTTCATATTAGATATATTTTTTAAGCAAGTACCCAAGAATGACGAGATCTTTTAGTTATATCTGTTATAATATAGCTTCATGAAATATAATCATATCTCCAGCAAAATTTCATAACGCCTTCGATCCCCCTTCCTTTTAAATCACTCTTATGTGCGACGACGATGCTTCGTGAAAATTAAGAGAAGCGGAAGCTTAAAATTCCCGGAGAATCTCGCGTGGAGATTTATGCGAGTCGTCTTTTTCTCGTCGTCAATGCACTGCGCGAAATGTCGCGACCTCGAAACGACTCGACGGCGAAACATCCTGTATATCGACGAAGAGCCGTTCTGTTCGAAGTGACGCGTGCGAAAAGGATTTCCTGCCAATAAAACGGAGTAGCCCCGACAGGATAAAGATTTGTCGGCGCTGGACCTAAACGGATCGCTGCTCGAGGTTGCCACTCGAGGGCCTTCACGAGATCTCGCGAATGAACGTCCCGACTGCCGGACGACGTGGCGGCCTCTTTGCCGCTGCAGATTGAAGTTTCGCGAAACGGATGTCCGTAATATCGCACCAAGGACACGCCCTCAACAAACTTCCCGTGTCTCAAAGTTATTAAACGCAAGAGGAAGAGAGAGAAAGGAAGAAGAAGAAGAGATGCTCTTGAGAGGTGCTTAATGCTGATAAAAATTGAATACCGTGAACGAGCCGTTTAAACAGCTATTATTCATAACAAATATATATATATAGTGCGAAATACTTATAAACAAATAATTTTCGCAGAAATCACCGGGCGGAGTTTGCTGACTAATTCGCGCGGCCGCGGCGGCTGACTCGCGCAGACAGCGTTTTGCTTTATTTTCGTGTCTGCGACGGGATGCGCGGCTGTGGGAGAGGGGTGGGAGTGAGGATGAGAACGCTTTCGGCGAAATCGCGACGATTTAATTGCGCGTCCGCTCGTGCCTCTCGCGTCCGCGGACAAACGATCGTTTTTGGCGGCGAAGTCCATTTCGAAACGACACACCGCAATCTTGGCGCGCTTCCAGCGCGTCCCGGCTTCTTGCTCGATACGCGCGCGAGCGACAAGATCGCCCGGAATAATGCGTGCCTCGAGCTCGATCCGGCGTGCGAGCTTCTCTCGGAAAGTGCGATCGTTAGCGTCTCCAGCATCGCGCACATCGCGAGCTGCCAAGAAGACTGCGGATACAGTCGCGAGGACAATCACGAGACGCGCGTCAAAGCGAAGAAACGCAAATTACAGGCCGGAAATCGAGATATCAACACGACTGACCGTGTTGATTGTCTTCAAAGTTTGATTAATTATGAGAGATTATGAGAGATTGATTCGAATTATGAGAGATACAGTGAAAATCGAAACACCCAGATGTGCGATAAAGGAAGAATTGACGAACAAAAATACGGCAAATAATGATCGTCACGACAATTAACGTGCTGACGAAACGTAATTCAGTAATGCGTAATCAACTAAAGGACGCTTTAAAATACACGAATCCCGAAGCAAAGATTCCCGTAGGGCACACAAACATATATAGCATTATATATACCACATTAGATATCATACAAATGACGTATTGGGACGTGCGGGATATACGGCGAGCGAGCCAGCCACACATTAATCTCGATAGAACAGGTATCGAACCCCCCCCCTCTCTTTCTCTTTACACACACACACACACACATACACATATATGTATGTTAAGCGTGTTATTTTTCTCGCATCATCGTTGGCCGAATTGGCAGAAAAATATGACGGGCGCGAGAACCCCAGGGAAAAATGCGAACGGACTCGGGCACAGGCGTGATATGTTATCACGACCGACTGCGACATCATATTCGCGTTAGATGATCGCGACGTTCGGTGGTTATCTTGTAATCCACCGACGACGGCGGTGCGCAAGTACGATCGCGTGAACCGATATATCAATATACGAGTATATATATATATATATATATACGAAATAGGAATATATAAACCACGCTTCTCTCTCTCTCTCTCTCTCTCTTTCGGATACATATATCGTATCTCGAGTACTACGAGACTGAACTTTCGTGGCTTCTCTGCGAAGGGAGAAAGGAAGAAGAAAAAAACAAGAGAAAAGAGAAATTACCACCGCTCTCTACCTGTGCGAGCGTACTATCGCGACTCCGCATCGCGAGGAAAAGCTCGAGCCGGCATGGAGATAATCGCCATTTTCTCGATCGGCTGGCACGTGAATGCCGGCGTAATAGCGGCGGGTAACTAGGCCACGTAAATCGGTGGTTGCGGGAGAGAAAAAAGAAGAGGGGAAAAAGGGGCTGAAAAAGATATATACCGCGATGACGCGAGGGCGAGCGAGCCCGTCGCCGTTCCCAAACGCCCCGCCAATAAATGCACTGCGAAAGCCCGCGCTAAAACGATGATTAAAGCCCCGACACGGGGTGCGCGCCCCCGGCTCGCATGCTGGGATTTTCGCGGTTATTGCGGTTATTAAACGCGCGTGGAATCGGGGTCACAATGCGTGCGTGTGCGCGCGAGCGAGTTTTCTCCGGCGACTTCCGCGGTCTCGCGGCCACATTTCGCTTAATATCGCAGACGGAAATGACATTATCCCCCTGGTACTGGATATAAGAGGAAATTAGAACTGTTCACCGAAACGAGAGCGGGCGTCCCCCCTTTCTCGCTCAGCCGCGCATAAAAATGCGAGTCGACCTTCGTCCCCTCGTAGTCGCCGCCGGTGCGTTGGCGAGTCGCGGGGGTGGCTTTTACTTTTAATAACGAGGCCATAAGCGAGGGATATAAAGCGGCACGATAGCAGGTTGGAGTAAAACGCTTAGTAACGCATAAAACGTCTTCAACGTGGACGTGGGACACGGGGCTTCGCTCGGGTATCGTCGGAACCGCGATTATAAAGCGCGTTCACAATCGCGGAAAATACTAATGCCAAGTGCGTTTCCGCGTGTTCCTCGCGAGGGATCATCGGCACCGATGTTTCCCCGCGACCGTTGTCTCTCCAACGAGCCAAACGTCAAATTAGACGCGAAGCAACCGAGAGAGAACGAGAAAGAGATCGCTCGCGGGTTCCACCAGCTGAGATCCGTCGTCGGGGCGAGACAGTTTCTTCTGGCGGCGTCGAAGGCTCGAACGACAGCGAGGAGATACGTGCAATACTCGGAGAGATCGAACAAGCGAGCGAGCGAGCGAGAGAGAGATAAAGAAAGAAAAAGCGAGAGCTCGGCGCAGCAGAAGCTGGCGTCTCGCGGAAAAGTGTATCGATCGCGGAAAATTGTCCGATACTAGGTCAGCGAGTATTTGCGAGCCCCCTTCCTCCTCCCCGTCGCCACCTCTTCGCCACGCGGCGTCGTTATAACGTTTACGATGCGCGGCCGGTGACGCGTTATAACTGGTGGACGAGGATCACGAGAGCGTGATGCACGAGGAGGCCGTTTCTCCCGCAGGCGCCGACGGTCCGGCCGCGATCCTGCGAGGGATTAATCGAGTTTGAACGTCGCCGGGAACGGCGTCGACGAAGGCGCGTCCCCGGAGGAACCGGCCAGCCGACGTCTCGGGGGAGACGAGGGGAGGACTCGCGGAGTCGACGCGTCGCCACGCAGCTGCGTCTCGCCGCGGCGAATCTCATTCGCCGAACAGGAGGATAAGAGGAGGCGCTCGGACGAATTACGGCCGAGCTATGCGTCCGATATTAAATGCCCCGCGAATTTAGACCCCCCCTCCCCACCTGCCCGATATCTCTGCTTCCCCGGGGGATAAATGGCGGCGGCCAGTGTAGCGCTCAGCGCGACACCGTGAGAACCGTAATCCGCCGGGGACTGTACGTGGGGCCGGGCACGAGGTACGTACGTTACGTAGGTAACTACAAACTGGAACTTACGCGAGCACGGCGCGAACACGACGCGCGAGCGCACACCGAACGTTTTCGCTGGTTCGGCGCAGAACATAACGCGCCGTGTTCCGCGTGCGTGTACGTGTGTGTCGTTTTACGATCTCGTAACTTATCCGACACTGGGTTACACGTGATCCGGGGCACCAAGGGAGAGAGAGAGAGGACACGGGTCACAGGTCGATATTACGGTGGTCTCATGTTATCACCCGAATCGTCTGATCGTCCGAATCGTCGACCATCGTTGCTACGTTACTACCGCGGGACTCTCTGCGATGTTACGATCTCATTGCGAGAGAGAAGCGTGAATGTATATTAGGCGTGCAAATTAATTCGGTGCCTTTGCATTCGATGTCCTGTAACTCTGGCTCAAAGTTAATTTGTCTTCCCGTCCTTCGGTGACTCGAAAGTGCCAGCCTTAAGCTTGAAGAAATATTCGAATAGTTGACGGTCTTGCCGACATAATCTCAGGAAACAGTAGTTATCACGATGTTGTCCGGAAGGAAGCATCTGAGACACTACATACATTTTGCACTCGAATTGAATAAAAATGCTGCCGTCGGCCTACCGAAATGAATCGTTCCGCTTTGGGTGAAGGTGCCTGTGACCCGTAAAACTTGTAGAAAGACCTTCTACCGGCGATGGAATTGGGCAGGTGATTCCTGCTGCACGACAACGCGCGGTCACATACTGTAAAAGGGACGAAGGATCTCATCTGTAGATCGGGCTGGGAAATTCTCCCTCATGCGGCTTGTTCGCCAGATCTGGCCCCGTCGAATTACCTATTTTGGTCGCCTCGACATCATCCGCTGGCATTTTAAAACAGTGCCCGAAAAAGCATCGATGACTTTATGGAGTCAAAACCGCCGAGTTTTTCCGCAAGGGCGATTCATCAGCTACCCGACAAATGGAGTCGTAGAAAAATAATGGAAGTTATTTCGAACATTAAACTTGTACCCGACTTTTTGTAAATAAACTTTGAATTTCACAAAAAAAAACACACCGAATTAATTTCTATACCTGATAATATATTTTGCCGCAGTTCTGCGGAAATCTTCGCGACGGTCTAACATTATTGAGCTGCGCGAGTCGAAGCTATCGCGACACGGCATCGCTCGGATTTTCCTTCTCCTCTCGCACGACAGCCGCGCACTTTTGCTCTTTGGAGACCCCGTAATTACGGCACGCGCGCGAGAGAAAGGGAGAAAGAAGGAGAGAGAGAGCGTTATGTTACAGTGGTTTGAGACACCGCTGGAACAACACCGAGCGCGCCGTAACTAACGAGGCGGCGAACTTAACCCGAGTTGCGAATTATTAAACAGGAAATAATTTCTTATTATAGCAGGGAAGGAGAGGGAAACACGGTGCCGCTCGAGTAAAAGGCTCGTTCGCGCGGGAGCATGAAAAATTCAGCGTCGCGGGAAACACATATTTGCGACCTCGACATCGGGGACCGGATGGTCTTTTAACCGCGTGCAAATTTTTAAAGGAGAAGTAAAAACGCGTAGAACTTCCCCGTATCGCACGGCCATGCTCGTGTGTCTCATTAATTATTAATTCGTGCGAAGGATTGACATCACGAGAGAGAGAGAGAGAGAAGGGGTGAGAGAAAGAGAGAGAAAGAGATAAAAAAAAAAGGAAGAAAAAAGAGAGTCACTTACACTCCTGCTTAAATGTGAAGTATTCCGTGAGATGACGGCACTCGTGGTTACCTCTGAGGAGGAAGAGTGTGGTCGGATGGCACAGTTTCAGCGCCCACAGGTACAATACGCACTGAAACAAAAAAAGAAGCACGAGAGGGTAGGCGTTAACCGTTCACGACATGGTCGTAATGTCAGTGCCGTGTGTCCCCGGTACCTTCGGTACCGTGTCGTATCCATAGACACGGTATATCTAGACCGAACGTTTGCCTTTATTTGAGAACCGGGGGTCGTGGTGCACGTAGAAGAGGATGCACTCTGTTTTATTCCCCTCGCGTTCTTTCTTGTTTGCGTGTCTGTGCGCGAACGAGAGGGAACACGAGGGACACAAAACAGAGTGCATCCTTTTCTAGGTGCGCTCTGACCTTCCTCAACACTCGGTCTAAATATATACTATATAGTCGGTGTTCATAGTCAGATCTTATATTTAACACTAAAACTACCGACAATTAAGACGTAACCTTTCTATCGGAGCAGTTTAAATAAGATTGTTGAAAATATACGTAATGTAAGGGAAAAAATATTTGTTAGTTTACACATCGCGAGAAAATTATAGGAAATCTCGGAGAATGTGCCATTAGAAATTGGAGTGGTAACTTTTATAAGAAAAAATGACAAACCAGTCATTTGACCGGTCGTGATAGGTTTAGTATTAAGACCGTCTTGAATTCATCTTTAGACGCTTCAAAATCAACGAAATAAGCCGTATAGCCGTACAGCATCGGAAGATGAATTCAAGACGGTCTTAAATATAAAATCCGACTATGAATACCGGTCTATGTCTACGTCTATAGCCTATGGCTTATGTCTACGGTCGTATCAGCGTTATTCGCGTGCCCTCGCAACATCGCGGGGTCTCTCTCGCGATTCTCCCGTTCCCCCGAGTCGTAATTTTTAATTCTACATTAAGTCTTCGAGCGGAGAAAATAGAAATAAATTCCCGCATGTAGCATCAGAGGAGCACAATAAGTGTTCCTTTAAAGCTGCAAGGGGAATTTAATCCTCCCGAGACTAAATTTCAATTCCACATTAAATCTTCAAATGGAGAAAACGGCAATAACTTCGTCGCTTTGTAACACCAAAGGAGCATAACAGAAGATTTTCGAACATTTAATGTAAAACTAAATTAGACTTAAACTGGAACTGAAATTTCGACTCGGGTTGCGATGACACGCCTCGCAATAAAATACCTTCACCCGAGACGAAATTTTAATGTTACTCTGACGCGCTTAAAGATAATTTGCTCCTACTTAGACGACCTATAGACTAATAAAAATAAAAACCTACTTAGACGACCTATAGACTAATAAAAATAAAAACCTACTTTGACGACACTTTTCAACTTCTCTCTTGATCTTTAATCCAGATTACTTTTTAATTGCTACCTTGAACAATCTATTTTGACCTTAAAACAGCGAAGACAGAAAATTAAGACATCATTGGGGGGTCAAAGTGTAGGTTACATCATTAGAATTGAAATTGAACGTATTTTGCTATCTTAGTACCTACTATGTTGCAGAATTAAAGGTTTAACGTAGGGCTAAAATTTCGGGTGTACAAGCCCCAACCGCTCAGTCGATCCCGAGCTTTCCTGGCTCTTTCCCGGGGAAAGCCGCAAGAAGTTAATTCGTTAATAAATGATTCATCAACGGGGGCGAAATGTCAAAGTGCACGTTCTCCTGGCGCCTCGGTCGATTGATGCACGTTCGACGAGAGCGCTTGTACCGCGGCAAGTTGGCGACTAGACGTAATGATGAAAAATAAACAAGAGACGTGTATCTCGACGTGAACGAAAATACGGCGATGAGGACGCAGGGTGGGAGAAGTGTGCGGGGAGAGGGAGGCGAGAGTGGTGAAACTGTCAAAGGCGAAATCGCGAGCCGCAAGTAGCCGGCAATTACGACGCGGTGTCGGCGGTATCGAGATTCTCCAATTAAATCGAAGGAACCCACCGAGGAGAGGTCTCCGTCTGAGCCGGCTTCAATCGTCCGAAGATCCCGCCGGCATTCTGCCCGCTTTAATTGCAGAACTTTCATCGACACGCATGCAAGAGAGAGAGAGAGAGAGCGACAAATTGCATCCCGTGTATTCGGATCGTGCGAGATTCCCTTTCGCAATTTAACGCGCTGTTAATTGTATCGACAAGGAAGAGAGAGGGGAGAGAGGGAATCCGTCCGACTCGAAGTTGCGACTCTTCGGTTACAACGACGGCCATTAATAAGTGGCGGGCGCGTTATAAAGGTGAACATCTTGGCAACGGAGATCGCGAATGGCCTTCCACGGCCCTCCGTCGCTCGCGTCGTCCGGCGTGAATATGAATCGGGTGGCGAAAGCCGGCGCGCGGATCGCATTTGGCTTCTGTGTCTCGCGCGCGGACCATGAAAACGTATTGCGTAGCGGCGCGAGACTATAAATAATGTATATATACACGCGCGTCGTGCGCTGAGAGAAGCGTCCCGAAGTGCGAAGAGATCTGGAAAATATGGGAGGGGAATCATTGATATCGATTGAGAATATTAATCGTGAGATAAAAAGGGTGGGGTGAAATAAATCGACGTTGTAGCTGGTTACTACTGTCCAATATTCCGTGCGTGACACTGAAAGTCTGGTCAATAAGTCCGGCACGCAGGGGAAGCAGTGAGTGGGTAAGGTGAGGATTTATTCTTGAATTGAATAAATTTATTCATAAATGATTGTTTAGATCATGGCATGATTTTCCTCGCTTCTAACGTGAAACATTAAAGGACAACTAAAGCGAGTATCCAGCAGCCTTAAAGTCGTCATCTTACCCCCCTTTTCCTTACAACTGGCTAGTCATGTATGCTATATTATTTCCTAGATTGAAACTCTTGACTATTTTTGGCCTTTCACTTGTACACGTAAGACTGAAATTATTCGAGTTACTGTACAACTCTGCTGTCACAACTAGAGTTATTTCTGCGATTTTCGACCTACTGTATTATGCGTAAGGCTGAAAATCGCGTGACTTCTGGAATGATACAGCATACACGACGCTAACCGTACGTTACACTCGAATCGAACAATTTATCCTTTGAGTTATCGCATTCAGCGACGGCTCTTAGTTAATACCGGCTGTGTTTACCCTCAGAGCCTTCGTAATGAGAGAAGAGCGTTTTTCAAAGCGCGGAGAAAGCTAGTCGTTCGTTGCAGTTCGTTCCCGTCAGCCGACAAACGCTCGAACTTGAACGCTTCCTCCGGAGCGGAGGTCGGGAATCGGGCTGTTGCCGGCACATGTAAAGGCGCGTTACGCGCGAATGCATCACTAATTAATATTATTTGCTGTACGGGTCGGTGACCCGCATTAAATTGGCCGGTCGGTTGCTAACGAATGGACGGCGGATTTCGCGCGAAATTGTGTCCCGCGCTAATTAGCTCGCTCGCGAGTGCGGCCGCGTAATGACGACTCCATTAGCCGCACGCGCGCGCGAAAGTAGAAGGCGGAGCGCGATTTTCATTCGGCCCTTTTGCGCGCGCGGCCAACGGTTGTCCCGCGCTTCGTTGTGCGCCCGCGGCTGTTTAATAATTACGGCTGGGCCGGCAGTTTTAAACGGGCTCAATTATGCACGGACAATGCGGATTAAAACGTTTGCAAACGCGTCGCCTCACGCGTCGACCGATCCTCCCTCTCCTCCGCTTCCCCCTCCCGCGAGGGGATCGACTTTGAATTCGAATGGATAACGTCGAGAGCGTTGTGTGTTGAGCGTTCCAAAGACAGATCGATATCTATTTCCTCAATCTACATATTCGGAGGTTTATGTAGCTGTGAATAAAGAAACAAGCGTGATCCCATTTCACTACGAGATACGCGCAATATTATTTTTCCTCGTCTTCCTCGTGCGATCGCGATTTTTCCTTTCAGGATTTCCACTTCCGATCATCCGTCTCTCTCTCTCTCTCTCTCTCTCTCTCTCTCTCTCTTTCTCTCTCTCTCTCTCTCTCTCTCTTTCTCTCGCTTATCAATAAATACATAGAGAAAAATAATTTGCCAGCACAGCCAATTTCATGCAATAAAATCGGTTAGTTACTATATGGACGGCAAAACGATTTGTTAAAAATACTAATTGTCATTTGCTGGATTATTTTGCTGAATCTATCAAATTATTTTGCTGTAAGAACAAATTAGTAAATGTAGGTAAACAGTATTTTCGGGGTTGCCACAGAAAAGGAATATTGAAGTTCCTTGACATTTCCACGTTTTCCAAACGACAGCGGGGTATTTTTCATAAGCAATATGTAATCTTAAACTTTTAAACGTTTAGAAGCAGGGATACAGGAAAGGTAGGTTTATATTATTAGAAGCAACACAAACTTAAAAGTTTGGTTTAACATAATATAATCCTGAATGCAAATTCAGACCAACAGAAAATAAACGAATATTGGAAAAAAGAATAAAAAAGAAAAGTTGCGAACATTTGTGAGCAAAGTTCAAAATTCCGAGTTTTTTTTTATATCTTTCCATGACTTTTCCAGGTTTTTCCTTACATTTAAAATTTCCATAACTTTTCCCGGTTTTCCCGATTTTCCAAGTCCCCTAAGTATCCCAAGGACAGCAAATTCACTCGGCAGAGTTATTTCTGTATTGACAACAAAGCTGTTTTTTGCTCCAGTTACGAGCAATTCGCTAAATTTGATTCGTGCCAATTAATTTTGTCGTTGTCGCAACACGAATACGCAGTAGCAACGACGGTTTTGCTGCGACGGTGAAATGATTTTCCTCCGTGCGGGAAAAGTCCTTTTCCGCTCTACCGCGCTTGCAACCTTGTGGAGATCTAATCTGTAAGAAGAACCCGGGGAAATATTTCAGGAGCGCGCGGCGGAGACTCGAGTAAGGTGAGACAGATGTGGTGACCACGGTGGAAACGGAACGTTTAACCTTTCTGCGTCGTACAACGCTGGAACCGACTGATATCGCGGCTGCGGAGCCAAGGGGAAAGGAAATGCCACGCGTTCGAACGGGATTTTTATCTGCCACTTGCGCGGGGACCGATCCGAGGAGAATGGGCCGTCGGTGACGACGACGAACGTTAAATTTCGCGCGTTCCGCAGCATCGACACACACACACACACGCGTTTTTTCGATTTTGCGCGGCGTTCTACGGGATAAATCGCCCTCCGCCTGCCTGGCCATAAAAGCATCATCATGGCACTTTTTTTCTTAGACTTCGAGGTCAATTATTTTCTCCCCGGTGATCCGATCGACTGTCTACCGTCCCCTCTCGCGTCCCGCGCGCGGCCCTTCCTCCAGCGACCCTTTGCGAAGCCAACGGAGCGGTTGCGCTCGCTCGCTCTCTCGCCTTGCCGCCGCTATAATTACGCGCGAGGGCCCTCATTGGCATTGTAACGAAATAACGCGCTCGGCCGTCGCGTATCGGCCTTCAGATCGCAGCTCGCGGTTCGTTCTCGTCAACGTTCCCCGTCAACAGGGCGCGTCGTCTTCTCTTTTCGAGCTCGCACGCGATACCGTCGCGAGTCCCAGTGCGAGAGTGCGGGAAATCGGTCGAGCGGAGGATCCGAAGGATGGACCTCCTCCTCCCCGGTGCCGTGGCGTGCTGTGTCTCCTGGCAAGATTTTCGCGAGAGCCGGCGAAATAAGATTCTTAAACGAATGATCACCACTACCACGCGCGCGTGCGCGACGAAACTTACTCCCCCCGTGAGTGTTGGTCTCTTTGAAACTCGGATTCAGCTTTTATGTTCCCCTGGCAGGCGCCTCGGATGATCAGGAACGAAGGTTCGAGAACGTGCTGTTGTCGGAGGAAAGGCTTTGGATCTGCGAAGGAGCCACCGGAGCATATTGCAGACAGAGAGAGAGAGAGAGTATCGATCTCGCGGAGATTCGATGTGCCGCTACCGGCCGCCACGTGTACACGCATCGACATACGCATACGTACACGTATAAACGCACACAGAGATAGATAGAAAGAGAGAGAAATATGTACACACGCGCGGCAGATTTACACCGCACGCGAGTTCGCGCATCTACTCTCTCTCTCTCCCTCTCTCTTTCTCTCTCTCTCTCTTCGGGGAGGGGGGTATATCCTCTTAAAACGCGGAGCAACCAACCGTCCTTTCTCCGGCGCGCGAACCATCGAACGGAGCATCCTTGAAGGATCTTCGAGCATTTTGGAGCGGGAGAGCAGCCGCGCGACAGAAACCCCTTTCATACGAGGGACGAGCGCACGCGGGGCCGACCGATTTATAATGCCATTTACCACCGGGGCTCGGCAGGGGCTTCGGGGGGGGNGGGGGGAGAAGTGGCGGTCCATTTTCTCCGCGAGAGAGAGATCCGCTCTCGAGCATTGTGCCGTAAAATAAGAAGAGCGCGCTCCGTCGTCGTCCTCGTCGACGTCTCTTGTGGATAGATCGGCTCTCCCCCGTATGTCGCAGCGTACGGAGAATCGTAAATACGATCGAACCCCCGCATCTGCTCCTCCGGTGAAATTATCTCCCAGGAGGAGGAGGAGGAGAAGACGTCGTTCCCCGCGAGCGGCGCGAGAACCACCGGGAGAAATTCCGCTTTATATCCCCGGCCCGAGAAAATAGAAACTGTACGCGATCCGACAGGGAGAGCGCGGACAGTTATCTTGCTCTTTCCTTGCTTTTCTCTTTCTTTTCGTTCTTTGTTTTCACGTCACCGACTTCGACATTGGGGTTAATAAGAGGTGGGGAAACACGCGACAGAAGCGATGTTAATAATCGGTTGTTCTGTTGTAATAACGAGAAATTACCCCACAGGCAGATATTGCTTTACGCCTGTTCCTGAGGGTCTTCTCTCTCTCTCTCTCTCTCTCTTCCTTTCTATCGATCCTGTCGGAACGCTAAAGGATCCCTTCGGATTCGGTCCATCAGTTTGATTGGAAACAGCGATTCGCATACGGCTTTAGAGCGCCGACATTCGTGAGCAAGCGCGCCCCCGTCCACCCGCCCGCCTCTGTGCGCGAGTTATAAATCCGACGGCATCCATGCGCTACTCACAGCGACGAGACGCTGGCGCCTTGCATTATTCAGAATTCGCGAAGACGCATCTCGATCTGAATAATGGTAACCGCGGAATATATCAAGAGATTTTCTTAAAAGGAGCCATCTTGCCGCACGTTGTTTCGCGCGAGATGTACTTTGCGGGGAATATATTTAAACCTCGCGAGAGAGAGAGAGAGTGAGAGAGAGAGAGAGAGGAGAGCTCGCCACGTGTAATACCGTACCATGTACGCGATATTGGATTGTCCTCTATTCCTTCCGCAAATTATTGCACTCGGCGCAGAAAGAAAGAGACGGCTAAACGAATTCGCCCTTCGCCGCAACCATCCCGAGGATCGCACATGTCTTACACCGATGTTCGCCGCTCTTATGAGAGAAGTATAAATCGTGAACACACACATGCAGCGATTAAAAGCTACTCGTGGATTCGTGTTCTTTTAGAATAAAATGATGAAGAAATTATGCGAAAAATATCCTCGGGGGTAGCAGCTGACAAATCCTAAGATGAATTTGAAAAATTTTCCGAAATGTTTTCGGGGAACTTTATAGCGCGTACCGTACTCAAGAAATATGTGTGTATGTGTGTGTGGTATTTACACTCCTCCTTCTATTCTTTTATTTTTTTTAGTTTCTAAAAAATAAATTCCACAGTCATACTCTTGGAAATATTTGATATGCGAGGTCGCTGTAAAATTTCATTTCGCGCGCCGCGCCGTTTAGAAGACGATCGTAGAGCCGAGAGCTCAACGCGCGCCTCATAGCTCTCTCTCGCTCCCGGTAGCTTCCGGTTACGAAATTTGCAAGAGGAAACTGTTCGTTACCTTACGGCGCAAAAATTCCTCGAGACCAGCGGCCCGCGATAAAAGTGCTACTCGAGATGCCGCTCGCGCTACTCGGCGAGCCCCGCGTTTCCTTCAGTTCCAGCGGCGCGGCGGATTGTATTGCATTATGTACTCGACGTGTACTCGACGCGAGATGTCTTCGCCTGTGTGCGACGAAATTTTATCTCTCGCAAAATAGACCGCCTCCGGATCGAAGTTGATTATTCGCGCGCGCGACCCCGCGGAATTGACTTCGCGAGCGAGCGAGCGCAATCCTCGCAGTAACAGACGCGCGGTCTATACGTGCAGCACGTGGAGAGTGTCCCTTCTCCCGTTCCTTCCTTCACTCATGTCGCCTTCTCCATTTCGAAATAGAAATTCTTCGCTCGGGGGAAAGCCAAAGGCGGCGCTTTACCCCGATCGCGATGGATATCGAGAGTCGTCGTATTTTCTCGGCGAAGAAAAAAAATCCTTTGACAAAAGTCGAGCTTGTTTTGGAACGAGATTCGAGACGCGGGAGGCGGGCGAGTGAGCGAGCGAGCGAACGAGATGAGGTTCGCCGGAGCGATGTGTGTTCGTTTGTCAACTGGCACGGGAAATCGCGCACTTTCCGATTACTTTTCCCGCTTGGATTGTAGGCGAGCTACGCTACTACGCTAAGTAAAGTATCACGATCAATACCGATGCAATGCATTTACAATCAACCACTCGCTACTCAAAGTCAGAGATTTCCCATCAGATGGAGAAACAGAGAGAGGAGGCGGGGGGG